GTATGGTACATTTAGGAGAACTGAAAATATGGTTCAACAGATCTCCTGATCACTAACAGATTTTAGGCTTAGCGTTAGACTTCATTACATCCTAAGTACCTGGAATGCATTTTATGTGATCTCTCAGAAGAGAAGAATCTACCTTTCATATTTAATACCAGAGCTGCACTTCGTGTTTACAGCGAGAGGCGGGAAAGCAGTGAGAGCTGGTTATTCTTCTCCCTCCACTGCATTCCCCTTCCCAGTTTATCCCGCCCACCTCATTCCACAGAGGATTTGAGAAGAATCTATGCCAGTAACAATCTGCCCAGTTAGTTATAAAGGAGGAGGTGGGGGGAAAGTAAGTCATTAACCTTTGGCATCATCTTCAGTTGGCCTTTGGAAGAAAAGACTCCAGTGCTGATAATTTAGTTAATCAAAGTTGTTTATCTGAAATCTCTAGGAGAAATATCTGCTAGGACTAAAAGGACTTCTAGATGAAAGAGAGAGGCACCCAGGAGAGTTGAGGTAGAGAAAAGGTGAACCACATTAGAGCCGCCTCCTCTACCTTTATTCATGTTTCAGAGCAACACAAACCATTTCACAAAGGTCAACTTGTATTTTTTCCTACCATGTGAATATGTAAGAAGCCATGGCAACTCATTTCCCTCACCTGTAAATTGAATCCTGATTATCCTTAGGTTCTATTACATTCTGTGATGGCTGTACCAACTCGATGTTCAGAAATTCTAACATTTTAATAAAGAGATTATGTTTTAAGAATTTCAAAGATGAATGGACAGTTGTTTTAAGTCACTATCACATCCTGGAAGATAATGTGAGAATTCTATTTCATATGGATGAAGATCTCCACCTGTGGTTCTTTTTGGTGTAGTTTTCTAATTCATGGTTTCTTAGTGCCCTCGTTCCTATAAATCTGACTTATTCTTGCTGTTGGCTGGCTTATGCTTGAGGATGGCAAACTCCTCTTAATGTGATTTTCACAGTCTGTGTGTGGCTGTTTCTGCCGGAAAAAGAGAACCAGTTATACACTATGATCTTAGGCAAAGCACAAAATGATTCTGGTCCTACCTGCTGATTCAGATTCTCTCTTCTTTTGGTTACATTGACTAGTCAAAGATGTGATTCTTTTGTGAAAAGTATTTATTTTGGAAAAAGACATTTTCAGAGAGATAATTATATATAAAGGAAATGTTTAGAATATAAAATTTACAATAAATTAAATGTACATGCTCCCAGACCATAATTTAATTTAAATGATGCAAATGTATGAAATCATCAAGTAAATCAAAGGCCATACCATGTATGAAAAACCCCATTTCACCTCTGTGTAAATGCTTTTTTTTAAAAATGGGTTTCCTGGAGTAGTGGTTTTTGCCAGTTTGAAGTATTTCTGCCTCATCCCAGATCTTCTAGAGGACATTGGTGGGTCAACCCTGAAAACCAGAGGAAGCCTTCCTACCGTGACTTGTAATTCCCAGAAGGAACTTAAAGCGGGGTGTGGGATCCTTTCAAAGTAAATGTTTACATTGTACAAAGATGAACTTTTACAGAAATCCCAGACACTTCCTTTTAAGTTTGGGCCATTCCAGTCGCCCTGCTGTGTGCTTATTGTTGCCCGGCATGTAGTTTTCACTGTTTTATGTACATGTGTCTATGCATATCTTCCAGTATATTAGAACATCTTATGATACAAAGGCAGATCATCTATTACATTTAATGTTGAAAGAGTGGAAGATGGAACTGCCCAAACTGGTGATCTCTGTCCACGGGGGCATCCAGAACTTCAGGATGCCGTCTAAGCTTAAAGAGATCTTCAGCCAAGGTTTGGTCAAAGCTGCGGAGACAACAGGAGCATGGATAATAACTGAAGGCATTAATACTGGTAAAGTGCACTGTTTCTCTTTCTTTTCATCTTCTTCTTCTTTCCTTTTTTTTTTTTTTTAATACCTCTTTCTAACTGAATCAGGCAGCAAGGCACCTAATCTGTGCTCTGCAGTGCTCCCAGCGGATATGGTAGTGCGAGTCAGACAAAAAGCATGGTGACCGGAAAACAAAAACAAAAACAAAAACAAAAACAAAACCCCAGAAGAATCATAGACCTTTCCTAGTATGTGTTTTCACCATTGTTAACATCTGCTATTTTACCACAACTTTGGGTAAACTTCAACAAAATAGTCTTTTCATGAACTTGAGGCTATGGTGAGGTTTGAAAGGACACGGAATCCATGCAAGTATGTAGTGTGTGGCCATGGGCAAGAGCTAAACTCCCCATGGTCAAGTTTGACAACAAAAATACAACTGCATAAATTTGAAGATCGAATTGTCTTTCTTAAGCAACTCACGAATTGGGCAGCATCCCATTTCACAAGTAAAGAGTTGCTCAGAGACTATGTATGAAGTGGAAGGTTTTTATAGGAAGGAGGGTGGGGCAAGGAAGTTATTAACAAAAGTAAAGAAAGGACTGTGGCAGGCTAGGTCCCCTTCCCTCAGGGGGCAAGGGAGGGGGTCCTTTCATGCAGATTACCTCATCTTCCTTTGGCGGGGAAGGGGAGGGGGAGAGTCCTTGTGACAGATTACCTCATTGGTGCTGATCAGAAACTTTCTTACTGAGTGGTTAAGACTACATTTCGGGGGTGGGAGAGGTTGGCACTACAGTTAGGTACTAAGCCCCAGTGTGATAACTTGGCCTAAGTGATTCCATTTTGGGCCTGTGGTTTCCCTTTTTAACAACATGTGCTTTATTTTACTTACTGCTTTTTTGGTTTGTTTTTTAAAAACATTTCAGGTTAGGGCCAGTTAAGGAACACAAATACGATAATGTGAAGACTATTGAATTCGTTCAGATGAACAAAAGAACTGAGAAACGAGACATGCTTGGAGCTTTCTTACGCAATAATCAGGGTCAGCCCCAATTCAACCACAGCTCCTTAAGGCCTGACTGCTCAGGGAAGGATCCATGAACGATTAGCATCAGGACCACCGGGGAGCTTGTTGGGAACGCAGATCTCAGATACCTCCCCAGACCCGCAGGACTGCCACTCTCCATTTTGACAATATCCTCAGATGATTCTTATGTACATTCAAATTTGAGAAGGTTTCCTTCCAGCTTCTGCCTATTCTTGAGCTGCTTCTACTGTAGTTGAACATTGTCTGGCGTGAATTTTTGACATTTAATTGAATTTTGGCATTCAATTGAAGGCCACAAGCTACAAGAATCTCCTTGTATATATACTATGCTATATATAAATTATATAATATATATATATTTGGGAGTACAGGGAAGAGGAAGATGCATTCCAGTTCCAACTGAGGGCACCTGAGAAGGCATAGACAAGGATATAGCACTTGGTATTGACCTTGAGGGAAGAGTAGGAAGGAGCATGCTAGGCAGAGGTGGCCGTTCAGGGCCAGGCACACAGCTGGAGTTTAAGGCACATGCAGAAAGAGGTGATAAGGCTACAGGCTGGGTATGCCTTGCGGCAGAGGACAGGGACAACCAGGGAGACTGGAGCCATACTAGATGCCATGCTGATGGGCTGAGAGCAGAAGGCTCTCAAAGGAATTTGAACAGGAGAATGAATAGGAAATAATATAGTCGGGTCTGGCTTTTACAGAGAGTCTCAATAGACAATCTGTACTAGAACCACCTGTGGGATGTGGAAATACAACCAGCAGCACCACAATGCTGATAACCCATGCCAAACCTATGGGATCCAAAACCCTACTGCAGAGTTGACTGCACAGTTGATGGTGATATACATCCAGGACCTGGATTCTAGAAAATGACTCTGGGAGAAGTAAAAGAGGTTGGAGGGGAAGATGCCAGAGAGAGAGAGAGGGAGAAATGATTAGGTACTGTGCATCAGATGTGTGCATATATAGAGTGTTTGTTTGTTTCTGTGCTAATGACACAGATAGGGTCAAAACTATATATATAGGAAGAGTAACTGGCACAGCATTGTAATTAAAAGGCAGATTAAGTCAATGTCAAAGGCTACATACCACGTGATTCTCACTTTAAGATATTCTGCAAAAGGCAAAACTGGAGACAGTATAAAGATCGGTGGTTGCAAGGGGTTATGGCGGGGGGAGTGAATAAGTGGAATGCAGACAATTTTTAGGGCAGTGATGCTGTTCTGATACTATAATGATGGAAATATATCATTGTGTATTTGTTCAAACTATGGAATCTACAGCACCAATCCCTGATGTAAACTGTGGTCTTTGAGTGATAATCACGTGTCAGTATAGGTTCATCAGTGGTACAAATGTACCACTCTGATGGGCAATGTTGATAGTGGTCAGGGGTTGTGGGTGTGTAGGGGTGGGGGGGTACATGGGAAATCTGTACCACTGGCTCAATTTTGCTGTGAACCTAAAACTGCTTTAAAAAACAAAGTCTGTTTAAAAAAGAAAAGTCCGATATTTTGGGTGGGAATCCTAGCTCTACAAATTACCAGCTCTATAACCTTGGGCAAATTATTTAACTTCTTTATGATTCAATTCTTGCCTATAAAATAGACTGAAGTTTCTACTTAAAGTGTGAATACATGGAAAACACTTTAAAAGTACCTGGTGCATTGTAAGAGTTCAGTAAGTGTTGGCTTTTATAGTTATTGTTATTATTAATTCCAGAAGGGCAAGTATGAATGCATTCATGCTGGCATACTTATGTATATAAGCTATTAAATTAATTTGCTTCAGTGAAGCAAGGGATACATCTGCAGGATGTTTTGCTGGGACAGTTGAGAAGGTTACAGAAAAAAAAAACCATTTAGAACATTCATGATGGTCTCATAAGACTTTCTGGTCAATCAAAAATAGGGGAAGAACTGAGGTTTTGTAAGCAAAACTTACCCAAAGGGAGAGGAGAATTATTCAGGTAAAGAGGTCAGTGATAGGAGAAAGAGGTGTTAAGAGAGAGTAGAGGAAGCCAAGATATCAGAAATTAATTCCACTGCGTCACAACTTTCCCTACGAATGTCCTTTTGTATATTCCCTACGAATATCTGCCATTTGTCTCTTTCTTGCAGTCACAGTGTTTTGCGTGATTTGTGCATAAAAGTTTGACTTTTAAACTGATTGTTCATAGGTGTGTCCAAACATGTTGGGGATGCCCTTAAAGCCCATTCCTTCCGGTCCTTGAGAAAAATCTGGACAGTTGGAATCCCTCCTTGGGGTGTCATTGAGAACCAGAGAGATCTTATTGGAAAAGATGTGAGTAGACAACCCATTCACAACAGAAGGGGATGAACGTGTATCCAATTGCCAACTTAGCACCACCTGGATATCTAAACACCATCTCAAATGTAATATACCTCAAACCAACTTTGGTCTTCCTACTTGCCCCATCTTAGGAAGTAATGATCCCATCCTTACACTTGTTCAAGCCAAAAGCCTTAGACTAATCCTAGAATGATCTCTGTCTCACAACTCAACCTAATCCATCAGTAAATTACCTCAGCTTCACTTTTTCTTTTTCTTTCTTTCTTTCTTTCTTTCTTTCTTTCTTTCTTTCTTTCTTTCTTTCTCTCTCTTTCTTTTTTCTCCCTTTCTTTCTTTCTCTTTCTTTCTCTCTCTCTCTCTCTCTCTCTCTCTCTCTCTCTCTCTCTCTCTCTCTCTCTCTCTCTCTCTCTCTCTCTCTCTCTTTCTTTCTTTCTACAGAAAGAGAGAGAGAGTGCCTGCACATGTGAGCAGGGGAGGGGCAGAGGGAAAGGTAGAGAGAATCTTAGGCAGGCTCTGTGCTCAGTGCAGAGCCAGAAACGGGGCTTGATCTCAGAACCCTGGGATCATGACCTGAGCTCAAATCAAGTCAGACACTCAACTGAATGCGCCACCCAGGCACCCACCCCCCTTTTTTAGCTTTACTTAAATATAGAAATATATCCAGAATCTGACCTCTTCTGTTACCTCCACTGTTACCGAGCAGCCCCCTTTCCTGTCTCCTGGATGACTGTAGTAATAGCTTTCCCTTCTCTCATCCTTGTCTCTCACTGCAATCTAATCTCAACACAGTAACCAGGATGATGCTTCCAAAATACAACTCAGATCGTGCCACTTCTCTGTGAAAAACACTTCAGTGGCTCCTATCTGGTTCAGAGTAATAGCCGAGTTTCTTGCACAGGCGTGCATGTGATAACACTCATGACGTGAACCTGCTCTTTCCTTATCTTGTACTACTCTCTGCTTTATCCTATGTATTGGTTCTTTGATCCCATCTGTTTTTCTAAAGGGAAGGAACTTGTCTAAGTCTGTTTATGAGTAGTGTGTATTTCTGATAAAAGTCTCAGGTATTACAAAAGATATGAAAAGGAAAGATAACCGCTATTAACATTTTGGGGTGTATCATTCCAGAATTTTTACTACGTATGTGTACATATGCATAATAAGAAACAGTTTGTATGAAAAAAAGTAGTAACAGAAACCCACTGATATGAATCTGGTATTTAGCTTAATTATTTAACATAATTACTTCTCTATGTAAATTAATATAAACATGTATATGGTTTATCTTAACTTTCATTTTGGAAAATGTCAAACATATTAAGGAGTAGAGTTGTGAAAATAATGAACTCCTATGTCCCTATCTCCCAGCTTCAACAGTTATGAGCCCAGAGCCAATTTTGTTTCATCTATTCCTTATCCAGTCCCCACTCCAATATTTTAAAGCAAATTCCAGATATTAAATAACATCATTGGTAAATATTTTACCAGTATTTCTAATTAACCAATTAATTTACCGATAATTTGGTATTTCTAAGTACCAAAAAGTAGGCATTCTAAAATATATGGACAATTAAAAATGTATATAACCACATTACCATTTTCATACCTAAAAAAAATTAATAGTTAATTTCTGAATATCAACAACTAGCTAGTCCACGTTCAACATTCTGATTGTGTCATATTTTTTAGTTGTTTGATTTCATCATCCAGAAAAGTTCCCTACAATGTGATGGGTTGATATGTCTCCTGAGTCACTTATTTTCAGTCGTTTTTAATCTATGGATTTTCCCTCCATCTCTTTTTTTTTGGGGGGGGGTGCAATTTGTTTGTTAAAGAAACTGGGTCACAGGACGCCTGGGTGGCTCAGTCGGGTAAGCATCCGACTCTTGGCTTCATCTTAGGTTATGATCTCACAGTTTGTGAAATCAGGCCCTGAGTTGGGCCCTGTGCTGAAAGTGTGGAGCCTGCTTGGGATTCTCTCTCTCTCTCTCTCTCTCTCTCTCTCTCTCTCTCTCTCTGTCTTTGCCTCTGCCTCTGCCCCTCCCATGCATGCTCTGTTTCTCAAAATAAATAAATAAACTTAAAAATAAAAAAAGAAACTAGGTCATTTGTCCTAAAGAGTTCCCCATAGTTTGGATTTTGCAAATTTAGCCTGTTATAGTAGGGTTTAGCCTATTTCTCTGTCTTGTCTCTTCAACTTGGTAGTTTGTTCCAAAGGTATGATTAGATACAAGTTCTTTTTGTGCAAGTTTATGCCATAAGAGATGTGTCTGTCCTTCCCCCTCATAACATATGATTGTTTTTCTTTTTATAATGTCATTGACTAGATTCATGACCTCAACAGAGTTGCAAATACTGATATGAAATTATTGTGTTCTTTATTTATTAGCTTAAACACTCTATAAAGAAAACATTTTCTCATCAGCCATTTGGTTTACTTTGTGGTACTGTTGTATGGGAAAGGACACAATGTTTGATTCTCTCTTTATTTTCCGGCTTTCAAAGCAATGAATTGGTTATCTACCATTCTTCAAGGTGAACAATGAGATTTTTTTTTTTGAAACATATCAAATATGTTTCAAGTCATTATTCCATCTAGTTATTACTCTTAATTATGCTCAACTCATCCCGTTTTGGCCAGTGGAAACTTTTCAAGTTATCTCTTGAGTCCTTTTAACACAATTCTAGTTGTTTTTCCTCGCTTCCTTGTGTTTTACTCTGAAAAAAACCAAAAACCAAAAACCAAAAAACTGTTCCAGGCTAATTGTGTATATTGTTTTGCTCCTAGAGAAATGGCTGGTTGCTTTTAGTGGGAAATTATAGTAAAAGACCGCATTCTAGGGGTAAAAGTTGCATTCTGATTTTTCATGCCTAATAATGCTCTAGTGTACTGTACTTTAATAGTACTATAATTTAACCATTCTTCTATTATCCATTTTGTTTTGCTTTTATAAAAAATGATATTAATGTTATGATAAGATACTTTAGATGTATTAAATCTATTAGTTATTTTCTTCTTGATTTCTGTCATCTGTATCACTGTTAGGAATTATAAAGAGAACTTTTAAAGACTAATGTTGGTAAAATTTATGGTGTTTTTTACCTCATTGTTTCTTTTAAGCCTCACAGCAACCCTCTGGTGTAAGAATTATCATTCTCCCTTAGACGTGAGGCAAGTAAGCCTGAGAAAGGAGGCAGGGGTTACCCAGAGTTAAAGTTAGGAAGTAGAAGAGTCTGGGCCCTCTTACTCCAAATAGTGTGCTTTTCGTCTCTAAAAACAAATGAGAATTGGAGTGGCTTAAGGAAGAATCCACAAATATTTATGAAGATCGGGATGTTTTATATTGAGTGGATGGATCTCCATTTGGTTGGTTGGCTGTCACTCTTCATTTCAATACTAGAAAAAAAAAAGCAGTGTCAAAAAATTATTTTGGAATAGATCTATTGAAAGGCATATTTTCTGGATAGCAGTGTAGTCTGTATATTACTGTATGTCCTTGAACTCTTTTATTACAATCTGAGACAAGGTAAGTACAGAAATTAAAAATAAATATTTAGAACCATTTTTAGCAATGTGGTAGTGCTGTGACACCCAAGTATATGGCCGGTGGACTTGTCTTTCTGAGCACAGTGCATGCAAGGGTTGTTGAACTTGTGTCCTTGTGTTGTGAGTCTCATGTAGTATGAGCCGCATACTGGTTACACATAGTAGGACCACATAGCGATCCATAAAAAATGGGAGATTAAAAAAAAGAGTTGGTTCTTCACTGTGGATAGCCTGAGATACACCTCTCTAGGTAGCAAGTGGCACTTATTAGCCGTGGCAGGAACTGCATGGTGCATGGGCAGCCCTTTGGAGCAGTTGAGCCCAGGGAAGGACCTCGGACTCTAACCCTCTCTTGTCTTCCAGGCGGTGTGCCTGTACCAGACTCTGGGCAACCCCCTCAGCAAGCTCACCACACTCAACAGCATGCACTCCCACTTCATCTTGTCCGATGATGGGACTGTGGGCAAGTATGGAAATGAGATGAATCTCAGGAGGAACCTGGAAAAGTACCTCTCTCTACAGAAAATACATAGCCGTGAGTACCACAGAGGCTCAGCCACCAGGGCCTGGCTGGGGCGCTGCTATGGAGAAAGGCACTCCTTTGTCATCCATATGGAGTGGAGAGGTCCAAGCTGGTCTCTGCCTAAATTAACACAAGTGAACCCACAGCCAGAAGAAAGCAGGATGTGAGGTGTTGCGGACTTGTGGATGGCAGGAGAGGGGAAGAAGTCTTGGAGACAGCATAGTCAGGAGAGGACTGGAACAGTGGAGACTTTAGCAGAGCCTCCAGCATACTGTAGGGTTGGGTAGGTGGAGGATGGTTGGGTAGTGGGAGTATTGTTACCAGAATGGGAATGACTAAAGAGCAGTAACTAGACTGGACTGAGAAGAGTGGGGGTATGAATTTGATCATCAGGGAGGATGGCATTTCATATGTGGTGACGTCCCCTAGACAGGGAAGGGTTAAAAGCAAACAGAGCTTTTAGAAATAGGGACCTTTGCATACTTTGGCTATTG